TGTAATAGTAACTTTCACATGCACATTTTGATGTCTTACATAATATAACTTTCTTTAGTTAATTAAAGTCCACTCAGCTTCAAATATGGTAATAGCACAAAGGTCCTCAACGTTTCCCTTATTTACCCTTTGGTCCACCAAACTTTTCATTCTTGCAATTTAGTCCTTCCAACATGTTTTAAACTCCAATTTTCTTCTATTTTCCTTCATTTACATGTGTACAAATATAACATTAGTTTTGCACCTAATCAAGGTATCATCATAATATTTAAATATATACTTACCCGCTCGTCCTTTATTTAGTAAAGGCACACGGGTCCCATTTATGTCATTTTTCTTCAAAAGTCATTCTTACTTCTTCTCCTCCACTTAGATTGGTCATATACTTCTTATTCACGATCACTTTCAATCACAGATAAAATATTATTATTTAATTATCATTTTCTCGCGTACAAAATATTTCATTACAAAATATTCTTTTTGCCTATCAATATTCTGTCGCACTTAAATTTACATCCATCAACCCTCCGTCTAATCGATGAGATCATACTGACTCTTATACGAGGGTATGGGGTGTTACAGGAACTAATTGAATTTTCTCCTTTAATATACTTTAAGGCAAGGTGTAAGCTAGATTTGAATTTGGTTTGTTAATTTAGTTAAATCAATTTTAATTAAATTTTACTCATCCTTATTCACAAGAGATTGATTCTGTGATGTGAGGGTCTTATCCAGTGTTGAAATGGATCAGTAAGATGGCGTACAAGCTGGTGTTGTTGCCTAAACCAAAGGTCCATTCAATGTTCTATATCAATGTATTGAAACCTTAAAATGCAAATGAGCAAGGTAATGTATGAGCGAGAGGTGGAGCAGGTGTTAATTGATGGGATGATAAACAAAGGGAATTACACATTGAGACACCAACATCTAGTAAAATAGAAGCGGTTCCCAAGAGAACAAGGAAAGTTGGGAATTGCCAGAAAATTTATGGTGATTTTAAGATAAACTTAAATTCGGTGGGTGGATAACTTTTTTTTTTAGATTCTTTTAATTAAGTAAAAGATTTCGTTTATAAAAAAATTTTTAAAAATTTTAAAATAGAATGTTGATCGTTAGCCAAAAAAATGGATACACGACAACTTTTAAATTTATCTTTTAACCTTTTAATACTTTCTCAAATGTAACTTTTACACATTATTTACATCTATACCAACAAATTAAATCTACATTAACTCTCCAAATAGAATATTTCTCAATTACACGTGTTCATGAATCGGGCCTCTCAAGCCTGAGTTTGGCTCAGTACATCCATTTAATTAGTATTACATATATATATATATATATATTAATATTTATAAATATATTTAAAATTTAAAATTAATTAAAAAATATGTTATTTTTTAATAAAATAATGAAACAAGGCCAAGACCACTCAAATTCGTAAAATCCATATCTAAGCCCAACCCGAGTCGGACGAAGCCCACGCCGTTACGCGCGTAACCCAGCACTTGGAGAGCTCAATCTCCGTTCCCAGTATTCAGCTTTTGTTGGTTTTCCCTCCATTTTTCGAAAGGCAAAAGCTGCTTTACATTTTCTCTCTGCAACGCAGCTATTCCCTTTTTTCTTTTCTTTGTGTTTCTACAACTTCATATAAGTTTAGAATTTAGAAGAGCGAAGCCGCAGCGAAAATGGAAGAGTACTTGCACTTCATGAAAACTCTACGCTCTCAAATCAACGGTACCTACCAATTCAGTCTCTCTCTCTTTCTTCGGAGTCAATCAAGTGTTGTTAATCTCTGAAAACAAATTGCAGATGTGGAGGATCAAGCGTCCAAGATTTCAGCTCAAGAGCAGATGCATTTTACTACAATTCAGGCCTTGCAAAATGATATCGTTTCTGGTGATTTTTTTTTCTGTTTTTTTTTTTAATTTTTTCCCCTAGTTGGATCGATTATCAAATGACTGAAATATAGAATTAATTGAATGTGGTTTGAGTTTAATATATAATATAAATAAGAACTAGTAAGTAAGAGATTCAATTGCATGATCCGTTGCTCCTTGATTGTCTTTTTCCGACTGATCTCTCCTTTTCTTTCTCTTTCTTTGTTGTTTGAATTTCAAAATCGTCGCCATGTTTGTTTCTTGTTGTTAATACTATCATTCATCACGTACATCTAAAAGCGAGCAAATCGTCGCCATAATTATTCTATATAAATGTAGGGCAAAATCATGTATTCTCTTGTACAAATAAATTACATTTTTTAGGCGAAAATCATATTTCATCGAAAGTGGGCAAATCACTATAAAATAATTCCAATTCAAATGGTTATGTACAGTAGGAAAACTAGGGTTTTCCCTGTTCATCTAAGTCAAATTTAAATTTTTAATTCTTTTGAAATATGTTTTGCTTTTGCATTCTCAAAGTTGGCAAACTTGAACCAAGTCCCAATGCTTGCTGAAAATTTTACATATTCTATACTGAATCTTTTCCCTTGACTTTTACCCAATGCTTTTAGTCAACAAATCTTACTCTTTTTTCTAAGCATTAGCATTTTGTATTTACTTGATTTTTATTGGCCGTTTCGAAAGTGTATCTCAAGTAACACATATTAGTAAATGCTTCCTTTTATTGAATATCTTTATGCTTAACTAGCTTACTTGATGTTCTTGTTTGCTGCAAATTGAGGGTGACTCTCTCTTTTCTTTTCTTCCTTACGAAATATTTTAGAGAAAGCAATGCGTGCTTTTGCTTTACTCATCTTTCCTTCTTGTAATCTACAAAGATGATACCAGAAAGAAGACTGCAATTTCTGAGTTGTTTTAACACTCTAGGATTAACAGTTTAACACTGTATGAACGTTGGTTTCTTTTTTCCAATGTCTGTAACGTGATAGATAAAGTGCTTTTTATTATTTTTTTCACAAGTTGGTTCAATTTGAACTTTTAAGGATAATCCTATCCCCCATCTAAGTACTTTGAATTATTTGTATCTTTTCTGTTCATAGACCAGTTCTATGCAGTCAGTTCTTTCTTCTATTGTTCTGTACTGATCTCAAAATTTTACATATTTTCTGAATGTTCTTTATTTTGCAGTAAAATCTCAAGCAAAGCAACTTAGAGAAGATACTGAGAAGATGGTGAAGGCAAAGGGTCAAATATGCTCGGAAATAATTGGAAAACAGAGAAAAATAACCTCTTTGGAGTCTGATTCATTTGCACTTACCCAGGTAATTTCTCTCTCTCTCTCTCTCTCTCTCTCTCATTCTCATTATATGAGTGAGTACACAAAACCTGTGCTCATGTGGTAATTTACTTTCGAACTTAAGCTAGGAATAAGAAAGCAGAACTCAAAGGAAGAAAAGGATAAACTTGGCCAGCACATACAAACGTTTTAACAGAATTACTAACTCAACATTTTTCCTGTCTCTAGAAAGGCAACTACAGAAAAGATGATAGATTTTCTTGTTAACAAGAAATTTTGCAGATATGAACATTGGACAGGTGTACTTTTCTCACTTGATGAGCTGTTACTTGTACCGGTAGAATTGCCTCGTAAAATAATGCTGGTAAACTGAACATCCTTTACTGTGAAGCCACTGACCACAAGCCTTTCTGGAGCCTTGATTCACCGGAAAATTGCTAGTAGACTTTAGCTATCAACTTCTGATGATGTCCCTTGTATCTACAGGCTTGCTTAATTTAAAAATTTATACTTGAAGAGCACATGTGTGCAATGAAATTTCCTCTTACATTATAGATAACCTGTACAACAAGATATCTATGCAATAAGCCCTAAATATGGATCAGTTCTATATTTTGGCTGCTGAACTGTCACTAGTTGATATTTGCTTCTCTCACATCGAGATACAGTGATCAAAGCAAGTAAATTCAGTAGAACTAGGATATAAATGATATCGCTTACAATGTTCTGTGCCTCTTCTTGGCTGCCTTGGATGTGCCTGTTCCCTTCTTTCCCTCTTTAGTATTAGTAATCAGCCTGGATATAATATAGAAATTCCTTACAATTCTGTCAAAAGTGAAGGAAATCCTGAATAGGATCTAAAGTACATTCAAGCAAATATTTAAGGTTTTGTGCATGTAAAGAAGAGGAAAGCAGCTAATAATGATAAGGACAAATAATCTATTTCTGTCAGGAATTGGACCTTGTCTTTCTTTCTCTGCCTTTAGATGACTGTATCAGATGATCAGAAAGAAAAATGAAAAAAGATGACTCTGTATCATCAATTTAAATATGGAATCAAGTTACTGATAATAATCCAAGATATCATAATCCTCACATCTTATCCTGCATTTCAAAGTGTAAGAAGTCATTCTGCTGTAGTTTCTTATGGATTATATTCTGAGTGAGAATCTCCATTGTATATATTTTAAGTTTTAAACGAAGAAGAAAACCTTTAAGTACCTAATACGAGTGGCCATGTTGTAGGATGCTAGCCCCGTGAGATAACTCTTATAGTTGTTTATTGAACAGCAGGCTTAAACTTGGGACAAAACAAATAATGCTCTCTTACTGTTTTTTTATTTTCAAAAAATTAATCTTACCAAACCGATATGCATGTGAAACTTTTACTTTGTGCCGAAATGGGTAATGTTGGCTACCTATATGAAAAGCTAAAATTTATTTCAGCTAACAAGATAAGGTATATGTTGCCATTATGTTTTTGCCCAACTTTTTGGTTATTGATTTTGTCTCTGACTTAAATACAGACACTGGAGCTTATTCAACAGGAAAAAATCAGCTTAACTTTCAAACTAATAGAAAAGAGGTAATTCAAAGTGAACCTGGGACACAGTGTGATATAACGACTGTTTAAAATGTCTTAAACTCTGGGATGATGCCTAGCTTGCTGGTGAACAATGCTATCTATGATCAAATTGTGGGGAAAATAAATTAGCTTCCTAGATGTTTCTGGAGAATGGTCACATATATTTACATGTTGATCAACACATCAGCCATAACAATGATGCTGTTCATACTACTTAGTTCTATGTTAGCTATGGTTTTGGGGAAGCCTTTTGACTAATACAAATGTCAAAGGACCATGTAGTTCAGATGGATATCCGAGTTTCTTGATTTAACGTGTTATAATCTCCTGATGTTGTATAGCAGCTGTTTAACTAGTACAAATGTCAGAGGACCATGTAGTCAGATGGATATCTGAGTTTCTTGATTTAACATGTTATAATCTCCTGATGTTGTATAGCAGGATGTACTATATCAGATGTGCCTCTGCTTATAGTTTTACGCTGAACAATGTAAATTGGTTGTATTCACATTTGTTTTTATGCTTGATTTGTTTCTCTTTCCTAGTTCAATGTTGGTCTCAGTTATATGTTTAATTCCACAACTATGGTGAATCCCTATATTTGATAATGATAACAGCACTTACTACTCCAAGGTGGCCATGGATCTTTCTACCAAATTGCAGAAACAACAGGTCTGAGTCCCATAAGCCTCTTCTAAATTTCTGAGTTTCAAGCTCAGTTTTCAACAGGCAGTTGATGATCTCCTCTTCATGTGTGAGTAGGACTGGGTCAAATCTAAGAAAACCGGCAGACAAACTGAAGAGCATGGTTTGGTACTTCGCTACATCTTCTATGCCTTTTTTTTTGAATAGGAATAAATAATCAAGTAAAGAAATGGAAAGAGACAGGCAGTATAGGTAAAAGACAATTCTTATAGAACATAGCTAGTCTACTGCCCACTCTTTCATCTTTTTACAAATTTTTTGAGCTTTTGACTAATTTTGATCAGTCCAAGTTGACGAAGTAACAAAACACGATGAGACATACAGTAATTCTTGACAACTTGGATTGGTTTTTTTAGGGTTTTGTTTAAATTGTATCACTTATGATCGTCTGCATCTCCTTAAGTGAACAATGGGTGAAAGAATTACTTAATTGAGATGGTAAGAAACTGATGTGCTCTTAGCAATAAGCATATATATATATGTAACGTTTGAATTCGGATTTTAATATGTTAAAGTTCATGCCAAATTTTTTCAGTTACATACGTGCTGGGAGATCCACATGAAATTAGTTAAAATATCCATTTTGAGGCTGATCTGTTTCATAAGTTTCATAATTTTGCTTTTGAGAAGGGAAAAGAGAGAGCCCTAATGAGAAAACAATATTCAAATATTGGCCAAGTTATAAATAAAGCTTTAATATACCCTAAGGTGGTCATTCATCATTTTGTCCTTCTGACTATTTTTCCATCTGAAAAGTTAATATTGCTTCAATTTTCTCATTCTTACAGACATCATTTTGCTTAGCTGAGTGTTTGGGGAGCTTCTAGTTCCTGTAAATAGATTTATATTTTTTATGCTAATAATAGGGATCTGCAGGTCAACAACAAACATGATGAGCAAATGACAGAATCTGAAGGTCTGGCTTCAATACTTATATCAATTTATTGTTTGAGAATATTTGGTTTGCTTTTTCATTGTTTTGTAGATTATGCTTTTCTGTTTTATTTTATTTATTTTTCATGTGTTATTTTATTTTATTTTATTTATTAGACTGCTTCTTTCCTGCTATATGATAACCTGCACCTTTCAAGAATTTAGCTGGTGACATATTATACATGGTGCATGTGTCTCAACCAAACATTAGCTTCTGATCTCATTGAACAACAGAAGTGAACTTGCCTTTCATTTATCAAATAGTTGAAGGGAGTTTATGTTATTATGCATAGTCTGGTTTTACATATAATTAAACTTAGAGTCTAGGTGGTACAGATTGGCTTCCAAATCACAGAAGATTTTGCGTGGATTAACACAGTAGTGATGCCAGAAAGAGAGAACTTATGTCCGTCTAGATTCACTCGATCAAACCTGCTAGTACTCACGAGCTGTTAGGCTGTAATTCATCCAATCATGCTGCACCAACCTGTTTGGCGAGGTCCAAAGCAACACTATTGGATTAGGCGGACTGCACTGGTCCTCCAGTTGGTTCTCCAAACGCACTTGGGGTTGAAAAGTCCAGTGAGCTCACTGCACTCATTGGACCCAGACTATTATACCTCTGCCTTTCTTTTTTTCTTTTTCTTTTCTTTTACCCTTACTATTATACCACACCCTTGTCAATCTCACTATTACTATTGTTTTCAATCTTACTAATACTAATTTCACTGCTGTGTGGATTGGACCAAAACTGAGAGTTTGTCAATTGTTCAAAAATTTTACTTTGATTTTGCATTATATAGGTAGGGTGCTAATTATTTACTTTGACCCAACTGCCTGTGTTCTGCAAAGAATTTTGATGATTTGCAAATTGTTCTGTTTACACGCTGTTGGCTATTTTATCTTATTTTGGGTTTATCTTGCAGGTAAGTGTGGCATTGAAAACCATCCAATCATGGACTATGTGGTAAAAACCATTCCACCAATGATTTAAAGATTAAGGAGTTACTTTGTTCTAATTATTCCTTGGAATACCAGAACAATGAAGCAGATAATGACCTGATTGTCAAGCTGGACTTAGCTAAAGCCAAGCTTGATGGTATTGTGCAAATGAAAGCCAAACTTGTCACCGATAATGGCAAGGTTAGTAAATAAACTTAAACAGCTCTCCCACTTGAGTGGGGTGAATGCTTCATACAGAAATAATTGATTCATCTGTTTTCCTAATGCAAAGGAAAAAAAAATTTGTCTTGTGGCAGGATCTCAATATGTTTGCATTTGTTGATTGAATTAGGATTTAAGTCACCTTTTCCTTCTAATTATGTACAAGCTAATAGCTTGGCCAAAACTCATGCCTTTTACAAAGTGAATCACTCATTTTTAAGATATTTCATCTACGGAAAAGAGGTTTTCTGCAACCGTCAAATTACGAATGGGATTGCTTTCTAAATTTACAACTCAAATTCAATTTTGACTTATTTTCATTTTATATTTTTCCTTCTTAAGCAAAATATTTTTCAGAGGTAGTCTTCCTCCTTTTTAGCTTGTTCAGCATTCTGTTGGCCTCTTCCTCACCCTGATGGAAAGAGTTTTAAAGAAAAAGGAAAAATGCAAGTAGAAAGAAATGTCAAAGGGAGCTAATTCATTGATGTTCTTTTCCCAGATCAAGGAGTCAATTGAGGAAGCAAAGTGCCGAGCAAACAATTTTAAGGTGACTTGCTTACTAAAATTAATGCATACATGTGTGCGCTTGTTAAAGAGCATGCACATTTTACTAGTATGCCAATAGAAAATCCACAAAAAGATTACTTACTAACGTTAGATTGAGTTTGATAGATTACAATGCCACAATATAGGATGTGAAACATTTGCATTAGTTACCGCTTCTATGTACAGTAATTATTTTATTTAGTTGATACATTTGCGCTTATATATATTTTAAAGTCCGCTGGGAAAAGGAAAACCTCACAATCCATTTATTAAACTATTCTCTTAGAAATCTGTTATGGTTTTCTTCTTTGTTCTGTCATCAATTTCTTGTTCATAACTATAGCCAGAGCTATTGGAAATGAGCACAGTGACTCTGGAAGGGGAATACAAAGTCCTTCTATCAGATACAGATGGAGAAACCGAGTATCTTTGCTCACTGCAGAACCAGATTGAACGAATGAAGGTAGATACATTAATTAGATTATGCTTTCTGTTTCTTGAATTGGCCTTCGGATGTGGTGCAAAGCTAGATTTAAGCAAGGGTAGTCGTAATGTAGATGGTTGAACGTTTTCACTATTTCGATTGTTGTCCTTACACAGGAAACTGAATGATTCTAACACTGACTTTTATAAATAAATATATCAATCTTAAAAGTCTCATATGGTTTCCCAGCAAGATTATTAATACGTGCCTCCATGTTCTGCAGGGAATTTCTAATGTGATTAAATGTGCCTGTGGAGAAGAATACACGGTGAAACTTCGTGCCTGATACAATACAAAACATGTATATGAACCTTCCATAACTCAAAATGCCACAGAATCAGTTATCCTTACAGGTAATATACAACTCGACACTGATAGGAAAATATGGTAAAAAATTTTATAGTTGTTATGGAGTAAATTTTTTAGTTTTCTGAGATGTTGGAGAACAGTTTTTTGCCAAGGAAACATATACAGTAAAAATGCTCTATATTTTACTGGAGAAAGATTATCGACAAATATCAGTGCTTTCATATTGTGATGAGATAATCTTGCAGTTCCTGCCGAGAAGTTAAATATATTAGTTCTTGAAGTTGTTATTCATAATTCTGGGAAATGTTGTTAATCTCCTACTATGCCAATATTGTTTGATGTGCTCTCTTTCCAAGTACCCAGCCATCAGATATTTTGAGCTTCCCAAATTTATAGATCCTTGTTGTAAAAAAGAATAAAACACGATGCTGCTTCAATAAATTAGTAAAAATCGGACACATACATGCACACAAGGAATCACATCTGCTCTTAAATATCTTGTGGTTATCATCTCAATTGTTCATGTCATTTCTATAACACTTAAGAGTAAAATAAAAACTCATTTCCTCTTGCAATTTCTTACATATTCAGATTTAAATTATTCTTACAATTAGAAAATATCTTGCTGGTTGAGATGTATATGCTTTGATATGTATTAATTACATTGTTACTGGGTTAACTATAGAAGTATATGATCTAAGAAGCATAAAAACGAGAGAGAGAGAGAGAGAGAGAGAGAGAGAGAGAGAGAGAGTATCACTTGATCTCAAGGGCATCCAGAGCTCCTGCTATATTGTGGGCTTCATAGTTCTCTATAGAGTTGATGTTAGAGTTGTCCTGGGGGACTGCATCTTCTCTTTTAAAATTGTCTTCACTACGAAGGAACTTCTCACTGCCATATGGCACAGAACCTTTCAAAACCAAGGTCTTGTGAAGGCCACCTAGCAGGTCTTCATGGTCTGTATCACCTCGCTCCCCCACAAATAAGACCAATTTGGAAAGATCAATTCCCCACCTTATTGAAAGATACCTGCATAGCAAATAGAGTCTTTAAACTGTAGCCTTTTAAAGGAAATGCTTTCTGCATAAATTGGACAAAAAATGGGTCTGACCTTAGTGCTTGCATTCTTGACGCAAATAATGGCACCACATTTAACCTTGACGCTGCACGTGTGTAGACAAGATTGCATCGGAAGCCTCTCATCCGAAGCCTTTGGCGAAGGTCATCTATTCTTTGAGTCTGCAATAACTTAAATTCAATAATTACATTTGAAATGCACTTGTTGAGTTGGCAGTGCTTTAGTACGAGTACTATTGTACATCATCATAAGCATACTCACCTTGGCACTAGGTTTAATGCTATAAGAGTAGCATCTGGAACTGCATGCTTCTACATACTCTGTGATGTCATCCTTGTCCCCATCTTCTGTCCTAGCAAGCCTCATTGCCATTGACCTCACATTTTCACCTGGCCATCTGTACTCAATGTGAGCTTCGTAGTCTGTATCTGCTACCATATCCCTCCATGGATAATACAATTCACTTCCACTATTACAGACCAATGCATCAAAATCTTCAATATTTACTAGGCAAGAACTCAATGCCTGCATAGTCTCCCTTAAACTTGACCCAGTTACCAATACAAAGCCTACCTTTCCTAAGCCAATACTTAAGCCTGCAGCTTTCATCACATTCTTGATTATTGCTTGAAAGGTCTCTGTAATTCCTCCATTGTTATCATAGCAATCTGCCGCTATCACAAAAAGCATCTGCCTTCTACCAGGACTGTAAGTAATGCTGGTATAGCTATTTGAAGAAGCCATTTGAGAAATGGCTTCGATGAGTTTCTTCTGTCTGGTTGCCACATCAATCTCTCCATTGAGTTTGATATCTCCCTCTACGGAAAATCTAAGAGATATGTCCTCCACATCCCTTAAAGAGTCACTCATTGGTTCTTCAGGAATCGTAATGATCTCAAGACGGCTAGTGGGATGGCGATTCCTGCAATGTTCAACATGTGAGAGGTAGTTACGGCAGTGTTCTGGCCATGAAAAACGGTGTATGTTCCTCAGGCCATTTTTCCGACACTCAGCCCATAGGTTCTTGTCAGCAACAAGCTTTAGGAGGGCATCTGCTATGGCTTTCTGATCATGTGGGTCTACTAGGAGGCCATTGTTAAGTACCTGGAGATAAAATCTTATTTGTTAATGAGGTGGAACGCACATTTACATTGGCAAACATAGTACATATAACTTGCCAAAACCTAGCAGAGCGCAGGTGAGAGGAAGAATAGAGAGGTTCCTCACAAGATTAAGAAAACTTCTAACTGTTTGCATACTTCAGATTTGGCATAAATAGACAGGATGATTGTGAGTGATCTGTGTCATGCCAAATCAATATGGTAAAGAATTAGCTTATTGAGTTATGTGTTTTGGAAAAAAATAAAAAGTCATGTTTGGAACAGTTAATGGATGATAGGCGAGTTAGATTGTGAACTCTTAATTCACCAGAGGGAGATGCCTTCTTAAAACTCAGTGCGGATTTCATTGGGAAGCCAAAGTTGCTGTAGATGTTTCATTGAGGTAGCCTAATGGAGATCTTTGTATTGGGATAAGTAGATGATTAAGTGCATTAACCAGAACGTTCTTAGCTATAGGTTGATATTTCATTGAATCTAGAATGGAAGATAGAAACCAAATCTCTGGGCGGGCAATAAGAAAGTGTATATATCTTACCTTTAAGATGTCCACTGGTCCACCATTTTTCGTGGCAACAACAGGTAGACCATAAGCAGCTGCCTGGGAGATAATGTTAGAATAGAAATTAATAATTTTATCACTAATGGTTACCTTGAATTCTTGTACATGATACTTGGAGTTCTGAAGTTATGGCTTTTTGAAACGCTTTTCTAGAAATCTGAATGTTACTAAGATCAAGCCTACGCATACCGAGTTAAGAGCTTTAAACTTACCTCAATGAGTGTAAGACCGAATGGTTCCACTAGAGCTGGATTGATGAAAACACCCTTCAAGAATAAAGTTACAATGTTAAAGTCAACAGTTTTTATTGTTCGGAAAAGATGACAGAGTGGTTAACGTGTGGCAAAATTGTTAGCAGAGCTGTAGTAGGCTGATGTATTCTAACCCAAGTGCAACATGTATGTACCTTGGTCTTGGCAGCTAAGCGATAAATTTCAGGAACTTCTGATTGCTTGTGATGCTTGGGATAGGCTACTTGACCATATAGGTCGTATTTGTCGATGAGCTTGAGTACAGTTGTAAGCACAACTGAGCTGCTGTTGGACATCTCCTCAATATCATCTCTGTTACCAAGTATCAATGTCTGTAACAATAAGATACAGCTTGAATAAACGTATTAATTAACTATGGTGTTATGCGTTTGATATTTATATCCTGTTTGTGGAAAACTAAGGTGAAACCACTATGTTTTACCAGGTTGGCCAATTCTCTGAGGGCATGGCACTCTCCAAAAGCCTTGAGTAATGTAGTAACATTCTTCTTGGGGTCGGGACGAGACAATGCAAGTATTGTGGGCTTGTGCGGATTTGTGAAAAAGCGCATTATCTGCATTGTTGAAAACAGTTAGACAATGTTACTGAAAAAGCATACCATATGAGATCCGATACGAAGTTTGGATGCCTCAAACAGTTGCCTTTGCTGTTTGGGCCAATGGGTTAGTGAAAGGTGAATAAAATACATAATCGAGTCCCCATCTGAGTAGGAGAAAGAGAATAAATAGTGTTTGACCTCAGACCATATTGGAGGTAGATGCCTTTTGTTTTGGGCCCTGTCGGGTCCAAGCAATGACTTGAGGTCACCATCATTTTCCAAGGAATCCTGGGTTGTGACGTAGCTGAAGTCCATGCCTGGAGGTATGACCTGACGCCATAAAAAGGAAAGAATGAATGTGATTATAAGTTTGAAGTCATTGTTTTCTAGGGGTGGAAATGAAATGCAGAGAAGGGAGAAGAAAGTCTGTACCACCATCCTTGGCATGTATCGTCCAAGGCAACTCACTCCACGCCGTCTCCTTACTCTAAGCGTCCTCTCTAACTTAGGATCGAAGCCATCATACAATCCCCATTGCTCTTCAATCTCTTGCCTTGTGCTAGTGACCACCATCTCAGCTGCATCCAACCCCATCTCTTCACCCTCAATCCTCCTCATTATCTTGTAGGTGGCATTGATGTCTTCCCTAGACAGTCTTCCTTGTTTAAGCAGTTGCTCAAACTTGTTCCGGCCGAGGGAGTGGCCTGTTAGAACCATGGGCACGTTCAAGGCCCCGGACAAGCGGGCTGCCACCTCCCCAGCGTCCGCATAATGACCATGGATGACATAAGGCCACGTGGGTTTCCCTCCGTTGAGTTGGTCACCCAAGGCCCTGGCCATGGTCACGATGTGGTTCAGAGCCCCATCGACAAATTCAGGGATGTAAGGCCAGAGAGACTCTTTGGGGATGTACCTGAAGGGCGAAACTTTGTAATTATTAGCTATTAATTAATTATTTAACATTTATTAAGAATAAGAAAGAAACTAGTAATTAAATAAATAATTAATTAATTACTTGTCACGCGGCCCACAGGGGATGCGTATTAAGTAGGCTCCACAACTTCCAGAACCATCAGATGGGCAGGACAGCATCTCTGTGGGCTCACCATAGCTTGAATCTACTTCAGGGGAGGTGATTTGTCTAGTCAGCAGATCCACGCGGTGAACCCCTTTTGTGTTGGCTAGAGCCCGAGCTAGTTCCACCACGTATTTCACCTGAACATTATTATTAGATTATTGCAGCAATGTGCACCACCGTCAGGTTTTAAGTTTCCTACTGTTTTTATAGCTAATTTCAAAGGAAAAAAAAATGAAAATGTTTATGAATTATTAAAAAAATTTAAATAAAATTTTATTTTTTAAATGTAATTGAATTTTTATAAATAATAATTAATTAATTATCATTAATTATTATTTTGTATTTATCTCACATTTAAGTAATATTGAGTGAAAAATGAAAAAATCACAACATATTATTTCATTATTTATTATAATATATTAAAACATTATCTTAATAAATGATGTTTTGATTAATAATAAATACTTAACTATTAATTATAAAATTTTATTTAATTTAAAGTAACAATATAAAATTTTAATTAAATACAATAACAAAATTAAATACTTGATTCGACATTGTTTTTATTTTTTCATTTTCAATTGGGAACTTGTTTCTCCAAGGAATATATGCATAATTGTACCTGGCCACCGGTATCAGAATCCCTTCCGAGTTCCATGTTTTCTCCGCGGACTAGCCCATGCATACTGCAGGGGAACAAATAGTACAGAGGTAGGCTATTGTGTGAGTTTTGAATTTGGTGGATTGAAGTAGGGTTAATGCGGTGGAAATACCTAATGAGGACAATGTAGAGATGCTTAGACTTGTCATCATCGAACCAAATCTGGGTGACAGAGTTGATCCTGGACATGTCCTTGCTTGCTTCCGTAGAATTGGAATGACCTTTTTCCTTCTCGCCTTCGGACAGCTCCGACAAGTCATCGGCTGCATCGTCGCGACCTTGCTCACGTTCCAGCCGTCGTTTAGCTAGCCTTCGTGCGTCATCCCATGCTATCTGCCATAACAAAAGTTTCCTTCACTTTTCCACACAAAAAAGCTGAAAATGATTCCTTTCCTTTGCTTTTCTTTAATATATAGGATTGAATATAGAGGGAGAATGGGATGCAAAGTGGGAGAGGGAGGGAGGGAGGGAGGGAGATACCTGTTTCTTTTTGCGGGCAAGATGCCAAATGCGCCAGCACATATTCTCGAGCCTGTTACTGCGTTCACGAGTATTCCTTGTTGCTATCACCTGCATTCACATCCACCCTTTTCATCCGTTTTATCATCATCACAAGTTTTCCAATTAATCATGAGCTATGCATGATATATGGGCAGTGGAGATCAATAACTTGCTGTCAACTACGCCTTTAGCCTCTAAAACAATATTGGGTCTCGTTTTTGGTAATAGGAACTTCATTTTTGCTTGATAATTAAGTGACACCATGAAATAACAGGAGCCCCTTTAATCTTCATGTGCATTTCCTTCTTATATTTCTGTGGTTTGTTAAGATTTTGAGTTACTGAATGAGTAGTTTTTCTCTCTTAGCTCGTAAATTTAAATCCCATTTATGTTGAATCCTTGTATGTATACCATATAATGAAGTGGTGCTCAAGCGTGGTGAGTTTGGAAGGAAGAGACGAGAGATAGCTACCAAGGGAAGAGAAGAGGGTTAATTAACCTTGACCCATGTCCTATGGAGGTCAGACTCGTCAAAGCCGTTGATGACTTCCTCCACAAAGTACTTGGTGGGACTGAACACCTTCTCTTCTTTGACCTGCACCTTATTCTCTTGGAATTTGGCAATCTTCGGCTGCCCATCATACCTCTTCCTTGTGCCGCTTCCCACGTCTAGTATCGCTTCCAAGTAGCCATTGATCCACTCATTCCTGCCATTTCCTCTATCTACCTCCTTACCTACGTTTCTGCTATGTAATATATGTTTATATGACCTAGCTAGCTAGCTAGCAAGCTAGGCAAGTAGTTGTTTCATAGTTATGAGGATTGAGGAGGGAGGGAGAGAGGGAGGGAGGGGAAGAGAAAGAAACAGAAGACTAGGCTTTGAAACCCATGGAGTTGGAAGTGAAGAAGCAAAGCCTCTTAATTTATAGAAACCAATGAAAATTGCAGCAATATTATTTCACCTTTAAAACTTCTTTCTATTCTCCCTCTAGATCTCTCTCTCTCTCTCTATATATATATAAAGTAGCCAAAAGTTATTTAACCAACAAGGAGAATCAATTTTAGTACTCCTAAGTCCTTACATATATATAATATAATAATATATATATATATAATATAATCAATATCCTTTTGATTCATTTCATATATCTCTCTACTCTCTTAATATCAAGGGGGTCTTAAAAAAAATTTGTGCCTTCCTCATATAATAAACTTACTTCTTAACACTTGTAGTTTATATGTTATTATTCATTTTTGGATTCCATTTGATTAATACTTTGTTTTTTTCCCTTTTGGTATTATACCTTATAATTCATTTTTAAAGCTCTTGACTTGAGATTTTGTTGTTTATAAATAAAAGCATAATAACTTTTAAAGCCGAATTTCTTATTTTCTTCTTCTTCTTCTTCTTAATTACTTCTTTATTCTCAGTTAATTTTCTAAATTTTATTTGAAGACTTGATTTGTAAAGGTAATAACCCAATTTGGGTTGTAAGATTTACAAATTGTAGGTGATGAGAATGACTATAAGATTGTGGCTAAGTGGTTTAAAAAAGAGCGATGTAGAAAATTACATGGTTTGCCGAACAGAAAATTGCAATGTAATATTTGTGCAAAGATGTGGCTTCTTTACTACAAACTCTCATTTTCTTCTTACTAAATTGCATTTCGTCTTTGAAAACTCCATCATTAAATATTTCTTTTGTCTATTCCTGGGCAACCACACAAATTACACACTTTTCCCATTTCTCTTTGCATTTTGCAATTGTTTTCCTGCATAGAAACACATGACAGTTCAACTATTTCCTTACCATAAAATATATCAAGGTGAAAGACACTTTGTCACAAAAATGAGACACCTTGTCCGTAAAATTTTGAGATTTTAATTTAAGAGTTTCGGATTTGAATTTAGAGATGAGATTAATGGATTTATGAGATAAAGAGTTCTTGTTAAGTATAGTGACGTTATTGATGGGCCGAAATAAAAAGTACATATTTGAATCTAATCAAAGTGAAAGATAAAAAGTCGTATTTAGCAATCAAAATACTAAATTCGAATACTATAATACTATATACAACTTCTTTTTTTTTAAGTGAGTAAGGAAGGGAATATATTCAACCTTCAAATGTTATCACTCTACCTCATTTAATTAATTTGTATATTATAAACAAAACATATTGAAAGGATAAAAGATTTTTGAATATTAGATATTTGGGAAGCATCAGATACCTTAAAGGCAATAAGAGCATGAATTAGCATCACAAGAACAGCGTATCCTCATGGCATATATCAAAATATCCTTTGTTGACAACAGGATATGTGCTGAAAATTTGTGCCAAAAAGGATGGCATTGCAATTTGCAAAGAATAAATGTAATAATATATGATTAAGAATCCAAGAGGTAGCAGGAAAAGAAAGGTAGGGAGAGAACTAAAAAGAGAAAAAAAAAGTAGTAAAAGATAAAGAATGGGTCTGGATGGATCAAAGTGTATGGACATTGGGGTTGTGAAGGTTACATCAGAAACACAATTAGATGGGAATGAAGAAGATCAAGTTGGCAGTACTTGCTATTTGGCAGCATCCAGCAATATGTATGGGGCTGACGGACAGAATTCCAAGAGAAATATGCTCTTCTATTTCTAGGGATATTTCAAGGAATATCCCATTTCTTTAGGAACTAGTGTGTATGCATTTCTAGCCTTTCAACTCCTTTTCTTCCTTCTATCCTCTCCATGTCCCTCACTTCCCAACCAACACACCACTTGCTCCCATTGCCAAATATTGCAAAATAAAAAGATATTGCAAAGTATATATAATTAAAGCATACTTTTATTTTGCTCGACTTTGCATTAAGAAAACATAATTAAGGGTAAATTGTTCTCTTTTATATTGATTTGAAAACAAAGTACATACGCAAGAGTGCTTGATTAAATATGTATGGAATCTATAATAAGTATTAAGATATGTTAGTGATGCAATGTGCACCCTTTAATAAAGGAGTTGCACTTAAACAACTTCTCTCCTGTTTGTTTTCATTTAGGAGAAATCTTCCTAAACTTCAATCCAAAACAACAAAGAAACTTACATGCTTATCTTAACTGCTTAAATTTTTTTCTCAGTTTTAAAAATTAATTCTGAATAAGATCAAATTTTCTTATGAAACAAAACTGAGTTGCTTTTTTTTTTTCAAACGAAGTAGTTTTAAATCATTATTCCCAAACGAGAATATTTTAAACGAGATTTTTTTGTCACCTAAGTGCCATGCTATATATTTGATAAAGAAATAATCATATCAGATGTTTAATTTATTTAAAAAATAAAAATTTTTAATCATTTTTTAAATAGCAAAATTGGCTTATCAAAAAATACTTTTTTTAAATAGCAAAACCCTAATTGTTTACAAGCTAAAAACATCTTACAAAATTCAAGAAAAAATTGCAGGGACATATGAGTTGTGCTTATTTTTACTCATACAAAAATTTATTATTAATCTTCTTATATTTTCTATTCATAAAAACACATTTTCCAATCTTGTATTTATTACTTAAAATTTCATTTTACCTTTTTTTTCATGTATATAGTTTGAGTAAATACACGTAACTATGTCATATAGTATAACCGTTAACCAATTCATATATCTTTCTATTAACTTTAAAATTATTATAGTTTTAGTTATGATAAAATGATCAAATTTGCTTAAACATTACTTGAGCGATCGTTGATATGTTCTTGAAAAGATTTAACTATCATACATTTATTCTTACATAATTGCAAGCTTATTTATCTTAGTTGTGTGAATTCTTGAAGTCATCAAACTCTCACTTTCACACACCTCACAAATGTTTACTAGCTTCAATGATAATTGTATGAGTACTAATGATAACTCTTGAGATGCCTAATTTGCAAGATAGATGTACAAAGTTAGAAGTTTACTGTCTACACAACAACAAGGTTATCTCAAGCCAAGAATGTCATTCTCAACTCAATGGATAACCACAAGGTAGATATAGTTAACTACATATGCAAAAATGTCAAGAAACTTGAAGATTCAAAAGTTTCAATTGATCCTAGAGTAAAGCCAATCGATCCAAGGACAAAATGAGTGGAGATCTTAAAGAAATCAAACTCACAGTTGATCTTAGAGAAGCCCTAATCGATCCTATGACAAAAAGGTCACAAAATCTAAAAATGAACAGCTTTAGTCGATCTTATAAAGGTCCTAGTTGACCCTAACGCAGAGAGGACAAGAAAATTAAGATTTTTGGAAGCCTAGTTGATCCTTAAGGGCTTCTACTCGACTACCCAAGACCAGAATTCAAACTTACAAGTTTTTAGGAAATGGATAAAGTAAAGGACACTTGTATTCGATGATAGAAACTTTAATTTGAACATTTGAAGAACCATATATACTGTTGGTCCTATTGGAGTGCTAGAGGGACGTGAATAACATTAAAAATTTTCTGTTAAACCCTTTAGAGCTTTAAGAGCTCTTAATCAACTAGATGAAGAAAAAGACTAGAGCTTATTAGAATTACAAGACACCAAGTAAGGAAGGGTCAAGAGAAGTGGACAATGTAAAAGTATTTATAGTGGTTTGGTCCCCTTGACCTACATCCACTACATTGATCTCCTAATCAAGGATTTTCAACCCAACTTGATACTAGTGGAATTAACAGCTTCCACCAAGCTTTTACTAGGTGAGTTTCTAACCCAAGCTCTAATCTCTTACAACAAGCTTAAGAGTACTTATCACATTTTAATTTCTCAAGAAAAAAGAAGAAAAAAAGTACAACTAAGTACCTTTACAAGTCAAGACAGATTATAATCAAGCTGTAACACTTTTTCTAGATTTGGAATGAAAAACAAGTGTTTTTGGTGAAGAATGTTTGATTTTTGCCAAAAGTAGTTCTTTTTTCTTTAAATCTTCATTCTTTGATCGTTGGAGCTTTCTTTTATACTTGGATACTCATATTTTTCTGTTGGAGATAATTTGTAGTTGTTGGAAACAACTCTGATGTACTTCTAGCTATTATTTTATCCTTTAGTGTTTAAATTCAAAAAAAGAGACAAACTTTGACAACCGGTTACAAGCAGCTCTAACCGATTACAGCTTCTCTACCTTACATTGTTCTGTTGCTTTGATCTTTGCTCTAACCAATTATAGAAGGCTCTACCCGATTAAGAGTGCTCTATTTTCAAGCTTCTTTTCTTCAGTCGACTTCCTCTAACTAGTTATAGCAGGCTCTAACTGATTAAGAGTTCTCTGTCTTCAGGCTTTTATTCTTCAGTAGATTTCTTTTAACTAGTTATAGTAGGTTCTAACCAATTACAAACATTATGGTTTCATTTCTCTACACAACAATCTTCCTCTAATTAGTTAGCTTTTCCTTTAATTGACCGAAGTTTTACTTTTTTCAACCATAACTAAATAAGATCAACTCTAATCGACTAGAAGATCTTCGAATTTTGAACCTTTCCATTTTGGCTCCCTTCAATGGTCAACTATATTTTCAAACTTGTTTTTGGCGTTTGAAGATACTATGACTAAGAGCTCTAACAAATTAACCAGATCTCGTAATCGATTAACATATTTCTGTTTTGCTTCAACTTATCACACACCCATGCCTTAACTGATTAAGGTCTTTTGATAATCAATTGCTAAGGTTCTGTTTTTATTTATTACTTGCTCTTTCCCTCTTAATTAATTAACGTTTCATTAAACTTAGCAAGCTCTTTGACTTGCCTTTAATTAATAACTTTGT